TGCCAATTTAACTCAGAATCCCACTAAAAATAATAGCGCACTTCTCGGGATCAAGCTGAACGTTTTGATACCACTTTTGTGGGGTGGACGCAGCAGTTTGAGCCGCATTAAGGGTGATAGAATAGATTCCTGCCAGGCAGTGCAAGGGCAGGCCCCAAAAAACTATAACCAAAAACGCAGGAGTGTTTCTCGCTTATTGATATGGAATAACCGAATAACCATCCAGAAGATATTTCAGGGAAAAAACACATATTTAAAATGTATTTGTTCAAACTTTTACTTTTCATCTGTTTTCATGCTTTTGTATCTTTTTTTTAGAACTCAGTTGCAACCTGGTTTGAAACATTTTCACTTAACTCTCCCTCAACACGGTCAAAAAGTTGTGTTTATTGTAAATATAAATATATATACATAGCAGTACAAAGTGCAAATGCTGTTAGTTAAATCATGTTGTTTCTGGCTCATTTTCTTTCTCTTTGTCAGTTTTTTGTGAATAGCCTCTGCTCTTTTCCTCCACGACTATTTCTAAAGCATCGCTTCCTTCAATCCTCTTCACGGTCTCCCCTTTGGCGGCGAGGATTTCCTCAATGTTTCTGAAACATGAAGCAGAACAACAATGTTTAAGCGATGTGAATACATTTGTAAGGCACTGTGCATGGCTTAAAAAATGTTATGTCTTTGTTATGTTTATTATGGTGTAAATCCTGCGGCTCCACCAACCTCTTCCCCTCCAGATCTGAGAACCAGCCGAGGTTGTCGGCGATGATATGGTGGTTCTTGCACCCTTGACAGGTCACTATTACCACCCCTTTATGGTAGGCCACTTTAGAGATCCTCTGCATGGACCTTGTGGAGCAAACCTGCAAACATGGCACAGCCCAAATCTTCAACACCTGTTACCTAAACATAATGCTGCAGACTGCATCACACAACTACAGTTTAAGAGGACAGAGCTTGGGAAAACAAGACGGAAACAAAAAACCACAGTCGAATAGTTGTGCTACCTTGCATGTGTAAACAAGATGATAATGTGTTGACTGGATCTTTCCCAGAGCTTCCTCTCTGGCTGGCGGTGAAGATGAGAATCCTCTGAAGGAGCTGGGATGAGCAGGTAGGACATGATGGTCCTGTGACGACAGCTGATCTAACCTGGTTCTGATGGTCGGACGGTGAAATAATACACATGGTCTGGATACGTTAACCCGCCTGTGGTAACACCGCGATAACAGGCTGGCAAGGAGCCTCCCTCTGGGAAACTCTAATAAAAAAAGACACCTTTGTAGAACTAGCATAATTGCTGTTTTTAGGGAGACAGAAAAGACTTTAAGGGCACATAAGTTTTAAGTTTCATCAACCGGGGAGAAATTGACGCGCTTTGATGACATCATCCGTCCTTGGTTTTTCAAAATAAGATATGCAATGACGTCAAACTAACATTAATGACAATTTCTCCAGACGTGTTGTTAAAATTACTGCTGATGCATTAAATGTTGCTTAGGAAAATTCTATTTCAATGTTCGGTTTGATTGCCTTTGAACTAGTATTTTTATTTTCTGCCAACGACCTAGAATTTTGCTTAGAGAAATTATCTGTTGCTAATCAGAAGCTTAGCAATAGAGTTTCAATTTAAAACTGAATTTTCACTGTAAATGTTCTGTTGTCCCTAAGTGAATTGTGCCATAGTTTTTCAAAATTTAGAGGGAGAGGCATTCTGGACATATAGCTGTACAAAACAAACAACACACACCTACGACAAATGAGTCAAGACAGGTATCATTTAGTCAAAAGGGTGAGGCACAAGGCCAGATAACTCTAACCATAGATAATAGCAGTAAGCAATGCATTTATTTTCTTAAAGTAGAATATCAAGGAAAAATAAGACCTTTCTGTATCTGTCTGTCAAATTTTTGGTCAATTTTACCTTCATTTGATTCTACTTCATTTGTTCATTTGATTCTAAGGCCATCAATATTATTAATCTTTTAATCAGGCTTTCAATACTTATTGCTTTAAGATTCATTGTAAATTAAATGAAATGTATGTGTTTTATTTTATTATTTATATTTATAAATAAGAAATATTAAGTAAAGTATATATTTTTAAATATTTTTATTTCTCATTCTATGATCCCAGTTGTCCAAATTAATTTCATTATTAGAATATTTTATTCAGTTTAGCATTTTTTGTGTACAATTATTTACAATACGACATTCTGTGTTACATTTGACTGTTGCAAACGTTCTCTATGAATGAAATTTGATCACATGATTATTATTCATACGTATTTTTGGAAGTTATTACAGTTACTTGTCTTAGAGGTTATTCAAACATGAACTACAGAAATACTTCTGAATCTATGCTCAGTGTCACTTCAATACATTGTGTCTTTTCATGGTAAATCTCTGCTGTAACAGCTTAAAAGTTCTCGGGACTTGTTCTCTATGTACATGCACTCTCTTGGAACAAAGATTTGACATTGGATTTACTTTCAGTCTTGTTTAGTTTCTGTGATAATATTTTATTGTGAGTGGAAGACTGATTTGACTACATAAAAGAGAAATGATGTTTTATTTTCTGGTTCAGGTACAGTGAGCAAAGCTAAATATGTCTTTCCACGTAGCACCACCAGGGGGAGACAAACAGATTTTGATATCAACTCCTGTTCCGAAATTGAAATACTCATGCAGTTTTAAAAAGCACATAAATATAAAGTGGGAGTAAAAGAGCATTCAATCCAATTTTTTTTTTCAAATAAAAATTAGAATATTTCTATTCATTCCACGACATGTTGATCATCATCTAAACTGATCAGAGAAGCAGCAAGAGGTCAAAATTGTCACAGCTATCTTTCGATTATTAAGGACTATTAAGCATGCCTGCTACAAAACTGACTGGATGAAACCCACTACAGGAAGAAAGATATAACTCCTGTTTAAAATTGGTCTAAATTCACGGAGGGAACACATGAAAAAAAAAAGTTGTTTTGATAGGATGAGACAAACATTGATTTTTTATTATTATTATTATTTTAGCCTGCATACAAAGCGCGATGTGTAAAAAAAAACCTAACTCAACCACACCCTGATCACACCATCTCCATGAAACATGGTGATGGCAGCATCATGGACCATGGATAAAGGGAAACTGGTCTTCTTACTCTAAAAGCTTTTAAGATAACATTAGATGTGTTTAAAGCAGAGCCAATTTAATCTTTGACTACCTCAGTCAGACATCTAAAAATGTGAAAAGTAAGTCACAAATGCAAATCAGCCAAGGGACTCTTGTCCCAGACAGAAACAGTGACGTAAACACTAGTGCCCTCTTCATATCCGTGCTTTTATTTTGAAGGCGGGGCGCTTGCAGCACTTCCTGCTGCTTTGTGAACGAACCGCTGCTCGGCTCGCTCTCGGATCTTCATGCTGTTTTCTGCTCTTCGGCTGTCCTGCGAGGCTCCGGCCTGGTGTCCGAGCGGCCCCAGTCACTGAGAACCGGTAGAGAAATGTGTCACCCGTGTACGGAGGAGGCGAGACACACCAGTGTTAAAAACACAGGTGAGTTTTCCCCCTTCTGTCTTTAATATGAGTGCATGTTTTTCTTAGTTAGCTGTGAGAGATATTACTGCCGCAGCGCGCTGCTGTGGAGTCGGGAGGGATGAGACATCGTTTCCCGTCTCTAGTCGACGGGTTGTTGTTCTGGAGGAGTCCGTCTGAAGAAAGGTCGCTCTTTTTGGTGAAACCGCACCCAATTCTGTCTAATGGGATCATAGCCAGAGTCGGAATTCTCTTGTAATTTATTAGAAATAAAACTAAAAACTCTTTCCAGCTGGAGGCCAGGGAGGTGTTTTGTTATTTTGGCTCAACCACACACTGCTGCTTATTCTCGGAGGTTATAAACGGATAAAAAGAAAAGCTTCTGTAATAGATTGTGTGTTTAATGTTGTCGATAAAATAATAAAGTCTTAATCAGACTGAGACTTCATTCTTAGGTCTGGTTTTAATGGTACAATAGAGGTATAATTAGTTTATTGCCGCAGTTTATTGCTACAATTATTATTGCTAGTATATTGAGGGATGCTATTTAAATAAACTACATACATTTAATTATAATTAAAAGCAAATTTATTGGCATTTAGTATTTAATAAATAAATGAGATGATATTGGTGGTTTATTACAAAATGGTGTGGATAAGAAAAGTAGTCAAGAGTCCTATTGTGTCTCTTGGGGAGCAGCTGAGTTGTACAACTCGCCACCAATCTGGTTTATGTTGTGGAGTGGAGCGATAATGCTTATAGAAAGCTGTTAGAAGTCCAATTTAACGTAGTCTCTGGTCAGATGAGACCAGAGTTTTACTTCGTGGGCTGCTCACTGAACACTGTGTGTGTGACAGAAACCTGCAACACACATCATCCTCACCCTGAAACATTGTGGTGGCTGCATCATGTTGCTGGGATGATTTTCTTTAGACTGGCCAGGTCCGAGTTGTTTCTTGAGTAAACAGTCCATAGAAGAACCTATCAATATATGAGATTTCTGAAAGCTTTTTTAAGGCCAATTGTAACAAAATTGGGATTTTTTTTTTTCCCATTTTGGAAAAATACTCTGTAATTAATAAGTTAATAATATTAATTTATCTCCATATATATTGACAAGCTTTCTAAAGTTTTGATTGTACTCTGTTCCAAGATCTGTATTGTGAGCATCTCTGTGTGTGGGTGTATATGATCTCACCAGAGCTGTCATAAAAAAAATGTCAGTCAGAACCAGTTTGACCCAGTTAATACAAAATCTTGCATGTTCCATCCAACACCCTGAGCAGACAGGCTCAGGGTGTTGATTTATTGAAACCAACTTGTTACAGGAAGGCATAAAAATCAAATAAAGTAAAGATAAAATCCACTGCAGTCTCTTTGATTTGCTAAAAAAAAAATCAAAAGAGCTGTCTCAAAAAGATTTAGGGTAATGCTTGAACTTATTATAGATGTAAAGTACAGGGGTTAACATTAACCTGCTTGAGAACTGCTGAACCAAGGGGCAGCGAGAACAAATAACAAATTTATTAAGCTGGTGGTGACTGAAGGGTGTGTTACCTAACTCTGCTAGGCGAATGGAGGGGGAAAAGGAGGTCTGTTTGGGAGAAACTCTAGTCTGTCTAAACCTTGAAGGGCTCTTTCTGCTCTTTTTTTGTGGACCATTACAGCGTTTCAAAAGGATCTGAGTTTAAAAGCTGCGATAACTCTGTTTAGTAATCAGAGAATGATATCCTGTGCTCAACAAATCTCTGTTTATGACCCAGATTTTTGTTGTCAGTATCAAGCATCTGTTCGCTTGCAGCAGAAACCCCGAGAAGTTTCTGGAAAACCGGTTGGTTTTTAAAGCTTATTGTTTTTGATATTTTTTCATCGCTTTCCATCTTAATTCCCTTTTAGGCAGCCATCTGCAGATGTGGTGTGAAGGAGTCAGAAAGAGGTGCCGATGATGCTTTCAGATCCTGTGGGTGTTTCCAACCACTTAGTTTGAAGTTGTTGTGGGGAAAATGTTAACAGTTGTGCTTTACATAAATGAGCTTCAAAGCCTACTGTAAGTGCCAGGAATGTTGGCATTCGTCCGTCTCTCAATCTATGCATTTCTCCAAACCGCATTTCCTGTTCAGCCAGATTGAATCCTGTGCCTTTATGGTTTCCTTGCAAATAGATGTACACCCTCACAGAGGCTGCCAGTTGAACCCTGGACTGACGGAAAAAACACTTAAAGACAAAACTAGGCTCTGATATGGAAAATCAGACATAGAACCCAAAACCATTTTCAGTGAAGCCTAAAGGTTGCTCATAAATCCTCCCTCTTGGCGTTATTTATTCAGCATGTTTGAGCTATTGAACGTTAACAATGAAAAGCTATTTTAGATTAAGCTGTTTTCCAGAGGACATGTTGTTTACCGAATTTATTTGTTTATGTGGCATTTTATATAGCATATACAAGAAGAATGACAACATCTAGCATACTGCCAGTGTGTTTGAACTTGTGCAACTTTTCAGAGAAGAAATTTACAGGAAAAAAATTGGTCTTTAGATTAAAAAAAAACCAAGTAGAGACTTACATTAAACATTTTAGGTTCTCATTTGTGGAAAAAAGCGATGCATTGATTTTCTTCCTGCTTACAAGTATATTACACTATATGCTGCTCTATCATATATCATACGATATATGATATATCTTAAGATTTTGTATATATTATATAATGTCATATTGTACATATGATTGGTGTGATATATCAAATTTATGGTATATCACATGATATAGTATCACATGACATCACATCATATCATATATCATTATATCGTATCATATATCCAACTTTCTAACAATAGGGCCAGACAGAGATTTAAAGAGGAGCCTCAAAAGCAAATGAGATGGATTAGCAGTGCTTGCCAACAAATAGAATATCTTATGTTGGTGATAATATTAGCCAATCATATCATATCATTGCGATAACAACATTAGTGGTGACATATTCCCATTTTGTTTTTGTTTTTTTCTCATCTGTGCTTCCATCACTCTGTGACCTTTAGCATTTTGGAGCATTGTCATTTAGGTCTGGGGTTTGCATTTGTTGCTGTGACACTCTGCCCAACTATTATTACACTCCAAGCAGTCCTTTGTGATATTAATATTGCACACTCTGATATTGTGATGATGATGATGACGATGATGATTATATAGTTTCAATATATTGTGCAGCCATAGTGCACATCCTGGACGTTGAGTTGTTAGCATGTCAGGACCGTCAGGAGATTGTCTTACAGCAACAGTGTCTTCAGTCAGAGGCCTTTTTCAGTCATTTCCAGACTGACTGCCACTGGAGATCTTTCCTGCCTTAAGCTTCAGCATCACTGTCCAACAATATGTTTTTTTTTCTCTCTTTGGGATAAATAAAGTATTTTTTCATATAATCTGAATATAAAAACCCAACAAGTTAATTTTGTAATTGTAACTGGTATAGACAAGTGAAATTGATCACCTGTAAAAACAATAAAAAAAAATACATGCCTGCTTTAGGCAGGCTGGTCTTGCCTGCATTGCTCTTAGCCTGTAGAGCGTAGCCTGGACAATAGCTGCTCTGTTTAAGAAACTATTTTAGAAGAAATGCACCAGGAGATTCACGAGCAGAGTGATTGTTTAATCCAATGCTGAAATTCTCCTTTTGAACACACTTATGATGTCATCTTCCTTTGGGACTGCTTAGGTCCCAGCAAATGTTAAACTTGTGTTCTGTGTCGCAGCGATATTGTCAGATAGCAATAAGACTCTTGCAGAAGAAATCTTATTTTATGTCCCCATTTTATAACAAGCTGACTGTGATAGCATCATAAATGTTTTTTTTAGATCACACAACCTTTTTGTTATAGTTTACATGAACATATCAGTAGGTTCTTGCAACAGGCCGCCGTTTGCAGCTTTAATTACAAAGTTTATTTATTCTAGTTCCACCACCCACTTTCCTTCCCTTTATCAAGAGCGTGGCATACTGTCATTATAAACATTCTTGATGTTGTGTCTAGTGTCAGATGTAGTTCTAATCTCAGGATTACTCTGGAATATGAATCCCATTTGTGTCACAAAATTGGTTTTGTTGCTAAATACCATGTGAATTTTCTTATTGAGGGCTATTTTAGCAGCTGCTGGGAAGTGAAGCCCAACATAGAAGATTCTATGATTCCTAATATGTCTAGAACAAGTTAACACTACTTTTTTTTAATGACTTACCATGCTTTTTTAATTTCCCTTTTGGGTCAATGAGGTATTTTTGAATTAGAATAATTTTTGCTTAAATTTACAGAGTCACTCTGTAACCATTTTGTCTGTTTTTTAAAATTAAGAGTAAAGCCTTGTTAGTGGTTTGTCTCTCATCTGGTGTAAAGTTGCCTCGCTTGCAATATAAATAATTAATCACTACTTATTGCAGGACTGCTGGAACAATATTTTGAATGCTGTTCATATGTATTATGTTACAGTTCTTAAAGACAAATCAGAGAATCTGGAGAACTAAAACCACCCGCATACCTTTCTTTTTTATATGTGTCTCTGTATTAAGGTCAAGCAGGTCTTATAAGATGGAAATGGTTGTTAATGATATTGAGAAACTTAAAATAAATGTACTGTAAGACTTAATTGTTGGCGTCTTAGCATTGGTAGCTCTCAGACAGTCTTGTTTTTCTTATTTGCTTAGTAAAGCCTCCTTGTTATCTTCCAGTCATACTCTAGCATAAATGAACAGCTGAAAAAGTTTGCGGTTTTTTTAAGCTGCCATCAGCATGATAAGTTTCACTTCCTTTTCGAGTAGAAAGTTTGTCATTTTCTATTTAAACAGTTTCCTGATGTCAGATCAGCATCTTCTTCTTAGCTCTGATTTGTCAGTGAGAGTTACCTGATTGACAGAGCTCATCTGAAGGTCCATGTATTTTTCTAAGATGGTAAAGTGGGGTTTTAAATAAAGCCAAAGGTTCAAACTTGAACATTATTTCAGAAAAAGAAGCTGATTTTGAAAATTGTCTGAACTGCACTGTGTCTGCCAGGCTCCTTTATCTGGTTTGACAATCGCTAACATCTACGTTCTGCATGGAGTGTGAGGGTGACGATACAATACATATTTTGGAGTTTAATGCCTAGCATTTGTTGATTGCTCATCATGAATTGTATCAGAAAATCAAATCTTGCATCATGTTGATAAAAATATATAGGCTGAACAACCTGGAAAAACTTAAGGTTGTTCAGTGCTGCTGCCCTGCCCTTTCTTTAAAATTTTACACAATTTCCTGAGTTCTTAATGCAACAACAATGACACACTGTGGTAACGTTAAAAAAAAAAAACCCCACACTCAGCATGCCAGTGGACTCTTTATTAAAAGTTATTTTCTAATTAGCCAGTTTTAGTTTAATAACTCCTCTTTTCCAGTGAGTTCACAACTTTGCATTATGCTACAACTATAAATTAATTAATTATGAGGAAATACACAGATCTTGGCTAAATGACTTTTGTTAGGGGTGACTGAATGAATGTATCTCCTATTTCCTTGTTATCATAACTCAACAGACATCAATATTCGATGTATGAAAATGAACACCTGGCTAATTTGCATATTTGTTCATACTGCACATTGTTGAAGCACAAAAGAAGTTACATGATTATTACCCGATACATGATGATATGGCAAAAAGACTTATGTTTGAAGTAAGAGGCACATATGAAGATGTTCCTATGAGTAAGCCTGTCACAATAAGCAATTAATCAATTAGACACACAATAAATTAAATAGTGGTTTTTATTTCTGCTTTATTTATTAGTTTCAGTTGTTGTGTTTTATTTTGGATGTTTGAAATCTTCCAGGTTCAGTGTTTAGTGTTCTGTACAAATTTGTCTTTAAGAGGGTGAACTTGCATTATTTTCCCATTACCAATGTATTACTTGCAAATGATCCCACTCCTATATCAACAATATTATCATTTATCACAATAAATACTGGGACAATTTAATATCCAGCAAAATTTGTTATTTACCTAAGAGATAATACCAAAACTGGACTTTTTTGGTATTATCAATACCAAAAAAGTATTGGTAATACTTTTTTGGTATTATCAATACCAAAAAAGTATTATTTGTTGTGGAAAGGTAAGACTGAGATTCATTTCCCTGAAAATGTTTTCAATTTTGGAAGAACAAATTGTGCATTTCCTCTAAGCCATAACAAATAAAAAGAAGTAATATTTTGTTTTTCCTGCTTTCACAGATAAACCATCATGATTCCCATCACAGAGCTTCGGTACTTTGCTGACACCCAGCCAACATACCGCATCCTGAAGCCATGGTGGGACGTTTTCACCGACTACATCTCAATCATCATGCTGATGATCGCGGTGTTCGGCGGGACGCTTCAGGTCACGCAGGACAAGATGATCTGCCTGCCTTGCAAGTGGATCCTCAACGACACTTGCGATGCCATGCCAAATGGAACAGGCATCTACGCCCCAGAGCCCAAAGGCATTCGATACGACCTGGATCGACACCAGTACAACTATGTCGACGCCGTCTGCTATGAGAACAAGCTGCACTGGTTTGCTAAGTATTTCCCTTATCTGGTGCTGCTCCACACTCTCATCTTCCTGGCCTGCAGTAACTTCTGGTTCAAATTCCCACGCACGAGCTCCAAACTGGAGCACTTTGTCTCCATCCTCCTCAAGTGCTTCGACTCGCCGTGGACAACGAGGGCTTTGTCTGAAACCGTGGTGGAGGAGAGCGACCCCAAACCGGTGGGGAAAACGAACGGCTCCATGGATAAGAAGGCGTCGAGCGTGAGCGAGGATGTCGAGGCCAGCATTCCCATGCTCCAGCGAACAAAGTCCAGGATCGAGCAAGGGATTGTGGATCGCTCTGAGACCGGGGTTTTGGACAAAAAGGAAGGGGAGCAGGCCAAGGCACTTTTTGAGAAAGTGAAGAAGTTCCGGATTCACGTTGAGGAAGGCGACATAGTCTACCGCCTTTACATACGTCAGACCATCATCAAAGTAATCAAGTTCATACTGATAATTAGCTACACAGGCTATTACGTAAGCTGCATCAAGTTCAGCGTGGTGTGCTCAGTGAACATGGAGAAACTGACAGGGTACCGTCTGTTTTATTGTGCACATCCATTGGCGACTCTTTTCAAGATCTTGGCCTGTTTTTACATCAGCCTGGTTATTGTTTACGGCCTCATCTGCATGTACACGCTCTGCTGGATGGTGAGACGCTCCCTCAAACGCTACTCCTTCGAGTCGATCCGCGAGGAGAGCAGTTACAGTGACATCCCCGACCTCAAGAACGACTTTGCCTTCATGCTACACATGATAGATCAGTATGACCCTCTGTACTCCAAGCGCTTTGCCGTGTTCCTGTCAGAGGTCAGCGAGAACAAGCTGAGGCAGCTGAACCTCAACAACGAGTGGACGTTAGAGAAGCTGAGGCAGCGGATCACCAAGAACTCCCAGGAGAAACTGGAGCTTCATCTTTTCATGCTCAGCGGGATCCCCGACACGGTGTTCGATCTGGTGGAGCTGGAGGTTCTGAAGCTGGAGCTGATCCCGGACGTGACAATACCCCCCATCATCGCCCAGCTCTCCAACCTGAGGGAGATGTGGCTTTACCACACTCCAGCTAAGATCGAAGCTCCAGCTCTGGCTTTCTTAAGGGAGAACCTCAAGTCTCTCCACATCAAGTTCACGGACATCAAGGAGATCCCACTGTGGATCTACAGCCTGAAGAACCTCAGCGAGCTGCACCTGACCGGAAACCTGAGCGCCGAGAACAATCGCTTCATCGTGATCGACGGGCTCCGGGAGCTCAAGAGCCTGAAAGTGCTGCGTCTGAAAAGCAACCTGACCAAGCTTCCTCAGGTGGTGACCGACGTGGGCGTGCACCTCCAGAAGCTGTCCATTAACAACGAGGGCACCAAGCTGATGGTGCTCAACAGCCTCAAGAAGATGGTCAACCTGACAGAACTCGAGCTCATTCGCTGTGACCTCGAGCGCATCCCGCACTCCATCTTCAGCTTGCACAACTTGCAGGAGATCGACCTGAAGGACAACAACCTGAAGACGATAGAGGAGATCATCAGCTTCCAGCACCTGTACCGCCTCGTGTGCCTGAAGCTCTGGTACAACCAGATCGCTTACATCCCCATCCAGATCGGAACGCTCACCAACCTGGAGAGGCTCTACCTGAACAGGAACAAGATCGAGAAGATTCCCAGCCAGCTCTTCTTCTGTCGCAAGCTGCGCTTCCTGGATCTGAGCCACAACAATCTGACGAGCATCCACCCAGACATCGGCTTCCTCCAGAACCTGCAGTATTTTGCCGTGACAGCAAACAGGGTAAGAAGCTGAAACATTACTATTTATCTAAAGTTCTGTGTAAAGCTACTTGCTGTCAAAGTTTTCAGCAGTTTTTCCTTCCAGTTTTTAAAAGACAACTATCCAGATTAACCTGACCCAGACAGCGCGAGTAACTGGCTCCGGTCATGATGTAACTGTGATTAAGGACATTATTTTTGGTTGTTTTTGGTTGTTTCCTGAACTTTCGCAAAAGTTCAGAATGGAGAAATCACTCACATAGAACCTGTAAAAGCCATTTCTGACACTTTACGACTCCAACGAACCACAGTGAGAGCCATTGTTCAGAAATGGAGAAAACAAATGGAGTAGAGAACCTTCCCAGGAGAGGCTGGCCTTCAAAAACGACTTCAAGAGCAACTAAATGAGTCATTCGGGGGTCACAAAATAACTCAGAACAATATCTAAATCGCTTAAGACCTCAAGTTTTTTTTTGTTGAGGATGGAGTTCATGGTTAAAAAACAAGAAAGAGACTGGGCAAAATTGTGGACACAAATGTGAACTTTTTTGAAAGGCGTGCTTCCAGTTACATTGGGTTTAAAACTAAGACAGCATTTCAGAAAAAGGAACAGTGGTTTGTGATGATCTGGGGTGACTTTGCTTCTTCTGAGTTTTGCCAGCCTAATGTACTTTATGGAACCATGAATGCTGCTCACTACCAGGAAATACAGAGAAAACACTCGCAACACGCAGCAGGACAATTTATCCTAGCAGACAATCAAGTCAATTTCTGTTGACTTGATTGTCAACAACAGAGGTTGACAATCAACCTCTGTTGTTAAGAGAACACTTTTTCACAACAGCTTGTGATATTCCATGTAATACATGAATCGTTTGGTTTGAAAATCTAACTTGCTCAAGGATTCAGATTAAAAAACTATCTGATTCCTCCTCAAGAAATGCTGCTTCGAGCTCCGCGTGCAAACAACATGGTGTGTTTTCAGTTAACGCTACTATTACTGCTGTTTTACTGCGCTGGCTCGAGTGGCTTCTTGCTGAAAATAACCTGCAGCAGGTCTGCGAGCAGCCACGAATAGCTCAGGACCAATCCTTTGTACTTCTTCTTCTAGTTTGTTTACACTTTCAGAATATTACCAGGTTCAAGTGGATTTTAACAGTGAAATTAATGGTAATGCCTCCCATTTCAGCTGTGATTCGTATGAAATTAAATAGGAGAATCAACTTCTTGGAGCAATCAGAACAAAGTAAATACAAATATCATTGGATTTATTCTTTGGGCCTGTTTTCATGTCTGGTTTGTGTTTCATTCTGACATGAAGCAGAAATAGCTGGCTTTTTTTATGTATTATTGCTTACTAATGTAATCAGTGCTTTGCAAAAGTATTCACACCCCTTGAACTTTGTCAGATTGCGAATTCTCACTGGGATTATATGGGCTACTCCATTACATGTTACGACAGGCCAGAAATTTGACAGTTACAGATATTATTTTTGACATGTGTCCAACATGCAAAAGTTAACATTTGCATTTGGATGCAATGGTAAAATAGGTAAGTATTTGTCAGTTCAAGTGAGGTTAAATCTACAGTTTTTTGCTGTGAATTTTACAGTTACATAAACTAGCTCTGGGCAGTAAATCAATATCAGTATATACCTTGACATTATAAATATCAGTAGAAAGTACGGTAACAAAATGTTCAATCATTTCAGTCAAATCTAAACCAGAACTGCACAGTACTCTGGGGGTTGTAGATAGAGTTCAATGAATTATGTGGATTGTTTTTCCTAGTAAAAACTTGGTTTGGGCCACTTGGAAATGGGTTTTGGGCCACTTGTGGCCCTCGGGCCACCATTTGAAGAGCCTTGTCTTACAAATGAAACCTAAAAAGTTTGACACTCACCCTTCGAAACCCTAAAATTAAGTTTCACTTGTAAAACTGAAACTTTTATAAGTTTCAGGTCTTAAGACCTCCATTGTCTTAAAGATGGAAATTTTAAGACAATGACAATGCAATATCAAAAATATGTTAAAACAATGCATCATAGTCCTTCTGTCTCACAGTTATGTTGTCCTTTTCACATTATAAACATTTGCATTTGCTGAAACACAACAAAATATAAAAACTTTCAAACATTGCCTTCCTGTTACCCCTCTTGGCATCAGCTTTTTAAATCTCTCTGTTTCAGATTGAGACTTTGCCCCCGGAGCTGTTTCAGTGCAAGAAACTCCGCACTCTGAACCTGGGGAACAACTGCTTGCAGACGCTGCCGTCGCGCTTCGGGGAACTCACCGGGTTGACCCAGCTGGAGCTGAGGGGCAACCGTCTCGAGTGCCTCCCGGTGGAGCTCGGCGAGTGTCGGCTGCTGAAGAAGAGCGGCCTGGTGGTGGAGGAAGACCTGTTCAACACGCTGCCAACGGAAGTCAAGGAGCATCTGTGGAGGGCCGATAAGGAGCAAGTTTGAGCCAAAACATAAATGCTGACGGGAAGCTTAAAGAGGCTTGTTGAAGCCAGGACAACCTTAAAGACAGACGCAGCTGCATTGGCCGTGAAAGCAAAGGCAAACTGACAGCTTGTCTGCTTCAGGAGCAGACAGGATGATTGATTAGTAAGCTTTTCCTGATTGCAAAGCTGCCGAGAATCTGGAAGCTGCTGTTAAATATGCATGCCATAGTGGGATCATTCTGAAGCAAAACTGGTTCATCGGACGACTTTGCACGACTCAGCTCTGCCAGTGAGCTAACTGTACTCTTTTTTTTTTTTATTATTATTATTTTACCGAGCACAGGGTACTTGCACAAATGAAACATGTTTAACGCTGAATTCACCCATCCCTCCTCTGGACTTCATATCTCGGAGGAACTTTTGTTTTTTCAGTTGTAGCACAACGTGGCTCGCTGAATCTGAGGATGTTATCAAGCCAATCGTTTCTCGACTCAAACCTAATCTGGTCAGGCATGAACTTGTTTTTTTTTTTTTTTCCATCCGTCTCTTTAATCTCATCATGCATCTTCTTATGGGCACAAAATGACTCTGACTACGAACAAATCATCGCACAGGTAATCTCGCAGCTTCGGCCTTAATTCTGAGAAAACCGCTGGAAATGATTGCAAAAAAAAAAATAATTATTAAGAACAAACTACATCTAAAAACACCCTGCAGTTATAAATCCCCTCATCAGCTCGTGTGGCAAGCTGTAACTTGCACAGGAAGAAGTTGAAGCCGGCTTCAGTGTTTGTCTTTTGCTCCGTCACCAAATGTTATTTTTACTCAGACGTGCAACCAGGAAACAGCGTGACTCGGAATCAAACACTATAAACACTTTGTTAATGCTTAGCTGCATTTGAAGGCAGAGTATTATGACTGAAGATAGAACCAGAGGATGGTTCAGAAACACAGTTTCAGCAAATAAGTGTTCACTTCCTGTGAACTTCTGGAACATGTACACTAGTCAGATAATTTAAGTGACCTTTGTTCATTTCAGAACATATTTTATTTTAAAGAATGAAATGTAACTCTAATGTACAATAAGCCACATTATGGCACCAACTATTCAGGTCCATTTGTTTTCAGATTAACATATTCAATGTCATGAAAACTTACTTACCCCCTTACAGAATTCTTTTGTTTTTAGTAAGCTTATCAAAGAAATGTTAATGTCAGACAACTATCAACCAAGTAAACACAAAAAGCTGCTTTCACACTGTGATTTAATGATTTATTAAGAAAAAAAAAAGCTATCCAAACTAACATGGCCCTGTAATGAAATGTGACAGAGCATATCTTGAATTACTTTCACTTGTCAAACTGCTTGTCCCAAATTAAGTAGAACCTGTTTGACAACACGAAGCAGGTTAGAAGATCTCAAAAAGCAGCACGAGACCATATTTGAAAAAAATTCAAGAATCAGAAAGAAAGTCATTGATGTTTATGCGAAAAGGATCACGATTTTTTTGAAGGATTTAGAACTATTAAATCCTAACTTTAGACATTATCCACATGCAGATATGTTTGATGATCACAAACGTTTATGTATGTTGGAAACACAAACAGAAGAAATCTTTAAGGGGGGAAAAAACACCTTTTTCCTGCCAATATATGCCAATCATGCAAACCATAAGCATCATGGAAACTACTCAGCAAATTGATTCACACCACGGCTTACGTTCTAAATCTGGAAATCTTGGAAAGTTCATTTTGGAAGCACGTAGGATGTGAATCAGTCTGAAGGAGAGAGGAGTTGTCTGCAGCGCTGTGTCCATGCAGACTCTCACTGTATAGTCATCATGCTCACGTTGCTCCACGGAAAGGAGTAGACATTTGCCACTAATGTGTTTATTCATTCGCAAAGCAGCCGAGGACAAACGAAATTGCAAAGCGACGGGAACTAGTTTGGACCGGATTCCAAAAGGGAAGCGGGTTTTGTCGACTAAGATCGGAGAGAGTGAGCTGTATCACCTTCCACGCTCCAAATTAGTGCAGCATGCCTTGTCTGCTTGAAACACTTTTCTTGTTTAGACCTGGGATTTAATAGCATCATGTGGAGCAAATGTCTTACGTCTACTCCTGCCAAATGTCTCTTATTGCTAATGTAGCCTTCGTTTTTTACTGGCTATATCCTGTTAATGATCACAAACATCGTCAGGGCTTTTTCTGTTGTGTTGTAAAATGTATAGCTCAAATATTTAATGCTTTTTTTTATTCTTCACAGCTGTTTTTCTTTTGATTTTTAAAGGTACAGTAGGAGGAAGGAATGGGCTGGTAGAAGACTTTGCCAGTATGTAACCTTTGTGCAAAACAAAACCCTTATCAAATGACATAATTTCTTTTATTTATAACAGAAAAGTAAAGTTTTTTGCTATTGGTACAACATTATAAAGGCAAAGATATGTGATTGTTTTTTGTAACATACACTTGTTATTTTATAGGCTAATGCAAAAAAAAAAAAAAAAAGATAGAATACCTGCTAAAAAAAGTAGTTTATAAAAGTAGTTAGCTCCGTGTCACAGATACTTGGAGATTCCTCAGCAATATTAGCATAATTTCTGCAGAAACTTCATTATTGTGATTTCTTTCAAAATAGGAATGCACAATACATTGGTATTAACACTGGTAGCAGTGGATGTGAGTCAGTTTTCAACAACCGGTATTGGTCCGATAAGTAGAACTGGTTTGATTTGACTAATTTATGTATTTTATATTGTCGTTGCACAGGATTATTTGGGTTTCTAACTGAAACAGAGAAGCAATAAGAGCAGTATAGTCATTTTTAAGGAAATATGTACAATATCAGTTATTAACCAACACGGCAACATCAATTTTGGATCAGTGCATCCCAGTTTTAAAGACTAACTTTTATGCACAGCATCCAAGAAATTAGACACGGTCAAATAAATCATCTAGTTACCATTATCAGACAATAAACGACTGGAAAAGTGGGCAATACCTAAGCACAACAGCTCGTGCTGACAAATACTCTCTTCAGTGTAGAAGTTGCTACAGAAGGAGAAAATGTAGTTAACTATTTTTAATATTAGTAACATGATAAAAAAAAATAATCTTGGAAGTTTTGGAAATCTTAGTCATTTTAAGGATCCATTTATTTTACAAATAAACAGACCTTACTGTTTGCAGTTTCTTTGATTTAAGCGGCTTAAAACATTTCAAATGTCCACTCCATAAATACATATTCTTTGTTTTAAAACAACAGCAAAATGCTTTACTGAAATGTATCCCAAAATAAGGGGGAAAAAAAAGTGCACATTTAAATTTAGTTGTTTAAAGAGACGTTAGAGTTGGATGAAATTGATACTAACAGATTAAAGATTTAGAAAATCGTCAATTGAAAATTGACCACAAAATTGTGCCCAGGTCATCTGTACAAAAGAACAGCAGAACAGCTATTTTATTTTATTCTTGTAAAATGTAAATAAACAACCAGGCATGTAAATACATCAACACAATTTATTGACAAGCTGCAAAAAAAAAAAAAAACACGCAGTCAGCAGTTGCTTATAATCAAATAGTGTTTGTATAACGGAGTGTGTCTTTCGACCTCTTTCCTATATAACTAGGAAAGTTTTGAGTCTGTTATGTGATAAGAGACACGAGAGAAGGATTTAAATTGTGTTTGCCTTAGTGACAAATCCATCCTAATAAGCATGCAAAAGATGGACTCTTCAATGATTTTTAATACCAGTGCCTTATAAAACAGATTGTTTTACTTTTCATCATGTTTCATCCTCAAATTTTAATGTTTCTTTCAAACTTCATGAGATACAGTTACAACCACAAAGTATCTGAAATAACTGCGAACTGGAAGGAAAAGACTCGTTTTCAGGTTTTTATTCAGCAGATCTGAAAAGTGTGGCGTGCATTTATATTTTTTTCTGACGTACTTAGGTCTGGACTATGATTAACCCATTTTAGCTTTTTTTTTTTTTTTTCTTATCTACACCATTCAACTGTAGATCTGACTGCATGTGATTTTTCTCAGTTAAATCAGTCTTGGATGTTGGAAGTTGGAATAACGTGACACCCAAGTTGAGGGTGATGTAGTTGCAAATCAGAAATCACTGCTATCTATACGTTGTTCTCTCTTTAAGTGCTATTCATGATATAAGCTGATAATAATGTAGTTTTCTCCACATTGTATGTTAAAACATGAAAGGAAAATGCTTTAAAGTCGACATAGCACTATGTCTGCCACTGGTCAGCTGTGCTAGTGAACAAGTTAAATACATTCTACATTCAGGACCGCCATGTTCTGTGGTGTTCTCACGGTGAAGTAAAGTGTTCGTTCTCTGCCATGTTTAGTGTTTTTGCATGTGAGCCAGAAAGTTCAAATCTGGTCCAGTCAGACCAGAGCACCATCATTTTGCATGTTTGCTGCTGTGTCCCTTTCATCAGTTGCTTTGTTCTTGCCGCTCTTCCTTTCAAGCCAGTTTCCTGATGTGGACAAATCGTAACGTAACACACGGACGTTTCTGACTGTAAGGTGACGACGTGTGGAAAAAGTTGCATGTTGCAGGGTTGAGACTGAAGCCCTTCATGAAGAAGCAATTTTTTTTTTTTTGTCTCTAGCACTAAGAGCTGCATAGACTGTTGTGCTGTAGGTGACTAGATACAGGGAGAGGATGTAGGAGATGGTTTATGTCACTCCAGAGTGAATTTGATATTGTAAGCGATCATTAAGGTGGTGCAGTGCAGCCCTCCCTTCTGCAGCCTCCTGCAGAGTGTCAAATTGAAACGTAATTGCAGCTTTCTTTGTATTTGCTGCTGATAGCTTATGGTTTCTTTAGTGCTTTTTAACGTTGCCTGACGATATCCAATCTACATTTCGGCCCCAGTTTAAAAAATACTGTTCAGTGCTAAGGTAATCTCAGAAAGCTTTCCCAGGATATCACTTCCAGCTGATTCAGATTTCCTCAACTAGACCTTTCTATGTATTGCTATCAGTGCATGCTTTTGTTTCTCTGACCTCCGGAGCTTTGTGCAGACGTCATTTCATCTCTGAGTCATGCTTTTCATGGCAGCGAGCTCCCGTTCCCCTCGCGTCAGCGTTCAGGAATCAGGTGAAGGTCTGAGTTAAGGTCAATCAGATGCTTGTGGAAAACCAAAAACTAGAAAAAAAAAGGGAAGTAAAGTCAAGCACTTCTGTTTCACTCGCATGGACGGCCCGTTTCTGTTGAAGCGGCTATTCAAGCCATTTAAAAGCTCTGTTGTCGATCTGTGCGAGCGTGCTAAAAGTTTTTAATTTAACGTCTGCCTCTTTTAAAGTGCAACATTATCTGAAAAGGTGCCCTGTGTGTGTGTGTTCTGTACGCCTTAAGTGATTTTGTTTGTGTGAAAGAGCATGGTCAGTGAGTGAGTGTTTACTTGGTTGAGTTTCACAGGTTCAGCTCCACATCAACGGTTAGAGCAAACTGTCTCCATGTTGTTATTTTGTTTTGTTTTTTTTTTTTCATTTTTTTGCGGATGGATGTACTGACACGGCTGAACAGAACCAGAATCAGCTCACGACAATCTTAACTGGAAGCGAAGGCGATCTCTGCCTTCTGCGTTGACATCTCTTAATACCTAAAACATGTGTGTATTTACATTTTGAGGTGGTCACATTTTCATTTTAATTCCTCATAATTCCAGTATTAACTTATTTTTGAAAAAAGAAATGTTTTTTTTTTTGTTTTTTAAGTGCTGAACTGCCATGATTTCATTTAATCTCTGGCTTTCTCTGTACCTTTTAAATACATGATTGTATTTACTGTCTACAGTGAGTTTATCTCTGTATTCTGATGCCTGTAGATCAGGGAATTAAAAAAAAAAACTACTGTTGGTTTTATTTTTCTTCATGTGACTTCTTAATAAAGCATGGGTTTGTTCAAGCTAAACTGATGTGCAGCATAGCCATACTAAAAACCACATAATTAACCCTTCGAAAACCGTCTCTTTGAATATAAACTGCAAGCTGAATGGACACATTTTTGTCTGGATCATACGTGACAATGCCTTTATGACGACAGCTTTTGCCAAGTGAATGAAACACTTGGCTTTTTAAGTGTCTGTAACGGCGAATGTTCAGATCCTACTTTTGTACACATGATAATAAAATGAACAGTTAACACTATTTCCTGTGTTTGACTATTAATTCGTCATCTGGGCTTGTTCCAGTTTCAAGGAGAAGTTAAAATTTGCTGAGACGTTATTCTTACACACTTCCAGTAAGGATGAGGGGATAGGAGCACATCCAAGGTTACAACATAAAGTTCTTAAGAATAAAAACAAATAATATTTTAGCTTGCCCTCCTTGTCTTATTATGAGATAGTTTCATGTTGATGCTCTAAAAGGGACGGGAAAGCTGTAGCTAAAGTTGATCATTTTTTGAGCAGGAAAACATT